TAGGAGCGAGGCCTCCCTCCACATAAGTCCGGGTGTGGGGTCCTCGCTGGAAAAATATTGTTGCTTTGCAAAGTTTTACTATGATTAACAATCAGCAATGCGGATGTTAGTGATTACTCGTGTCGTGTGGTACCTGGAAGTTTGAAAGGTATAAGAAACCTGTGCAAAACCACATTTGGGAGGCCCAGATTGGCTGGGACACCTCATGTGCAGGAATAAATACATATCCTTGGCAGGGCCAGCCCCACCAGCCCAGCTCCTGGGGGGGCTTTTCCCTCCCCTCCAGCAAAGCGGCTGTGCCGAGCCCCGGGAGCTGGCGAGCAGAGCTGGTGGCAGTGCCGGCCGTGGGTGCATGAGGATGTCTTTATGAGCTGCCTGCGGTCTGTGCCCTTGTGCGAGGGGCACTGGCATGGGCTGGCCAGCCGCTTTCCTAAAAAAGCTCCTGTGTGCAGAGGGAAGGGTGTCCTAGGGGCAGCATGTCCTTCCCTTGCTGTCCCCAAAGGCCCTCGTGACCTTTTCAACCTCCATCCCTTGGTGGCTCTCCCTCGCGCAGGGGTCTGGCTGTGCTGGTGGTGGCAGAGGGTGCCTCAGGAGCGTGGGGGGCTGCACCTCCTTTGTCCTTGCAGCCTACCCTCCGTGAGTCAGGAGCAGGGGAACGGCTTGAGTGCTCAGTGAGCTGCGAAGCTGCGACTTGGACCGTCCGTGTGGTTGGCTCCTGTCAGAGCCGTTGCAGAGGGACGTCTCCTGGTTGCGAGGAAGAACAGCCTCTGGTCGCCGTCCCCTCCTCACCTGGTGGCAGAGAGCCCTGCTGTGCTTTCCTGGCACCTGCCAAAGGGACGGGGGACAAGCCTTGGCTGTGCAGGACATGCAGGGCAGCGTGTTCAGCCCATCTCCCGACCCTGCACTGGGGAGCTTTTCAGCGTGGCCTCCAGGAACAGTGATGCTGGGAGGGACAGGGACACTGCATGATCCTGGGTGGGGTTGACAGCTCTTCTGGCACCCTGAGCTCTGCGGGAGGACCCTGCCCTGACCACAGCCCCCAGCTCTCCCCAGGAGCCTTACCCCAGGAGCATGGGGCTGCTCCTATGCGGCAGGCATGGAGCAAGGAGGACACCCTTCCTACAGCCACTTTTCTTTTATTAGAGGTTGCAAGATACAAGGAGCCGGACCTGCAGGCCACGTGCTCTCAGCTCGCTCTGCCATGCCCATCTGTGTGCTCTGCGGGCAGAGAGGAGGGGGGTTGCCAGAGGCAGGCACCCCCATTGCCTGCAGTTTTCCTTGCAGCCTTTGCGACGGGCACCGTTTCTGCTTCAGTGGCTTTGCCATAAGCAAGCATTACGGGAGAGGGATGTCTCCAATGGGACAAGAACTGGGACCACTGAGCTGAACCTGCTCCATCACTCCTCAGGAGAGACCCTGGCTTGGCCACACACCCACCTCTAAAGGGGATCAAAACTCGTATGGGGAGACAAAGACCGTGACCTTGAAGATGTGCTTGCCCAGGGGGACCTTGCGGGAGAACTCGCTTATGTCCAGCTCCACCTCCAGCGTGGCTGGCCCCCCCATGGGACTGGTGTGCACCAGCTCTCCTGTCTGCTGGTCAGAGTGCCGCACAGCGAAGATGCCCTGGCCTCGGCTGCCCGTGATGGTGAAGCGCAGGCTGTCGCCCACGAAGCGGGTGGTGGACATCTTGAAGAGAACGAGGAGCACAGTGCAGTTGGCCTGAAGTGGCAGGTAATGGAAGGAGATGGAGGTGGCAGCCAGACGGCAGGCTCAGCTCTCCATCGGGCACAGGTTCCTCTGACACTGCTGCCAGGAGAGAAGGGGTACCACTACTCAGTGCTGTGGTTTGGCTCTCAGGGAGCTGCTCGCATCCTTGCAAACAAGCTTAGCCTGTGCTGCAGGCAGCATCTCCAGCCCCACTGCCAGTCCTGTGACAGAGCAACCCAAGAAAGCCACATCCCAGTGTGCCCAGCATAGAATCTCTGTCCTGTCCCTGCCTCTGCCAGGCAAATGCCATGCCTTGCAGGGACGCAGCTCTGGGTCACGCTTCAAGGCTGAGACCTGGGGTACAACAGTCCCGGATGGAGACCAGGAATGGAGCCAGGCTCAGATGTGCCTCCTGCAGAGGAACTTGTCCAAAGCAAGGATGCTCCTCTGCTTGGGTGGCGTGTGCTCAGCCACAAAGTGGTTTAGTCTCAAGAGTGGGACCGGGCGGGGGGGGGGGGTTCCTGCTGGATGGCAGCCGATGGCATCACGTGGATGTGCAGCAGTGGAGAAATGGCATTGTTCCCCCTAGGCTGGGGCTCTGGGGGCCAGGGTCCTGGATAGAGCCACCATGTATTCGGGTGTGCACCCCCAGCCACCAGCATCCTGAGACCATTGGGGAGTGTGCTGAGGACATCCGGGCACCCCATGTGGCCATTTACTAGGCAATTTACTACCTGCGCTGGCTGACACTCTCCCTGCTACCCCTGAGAGACACAATATGGTCCCCAGGGCACTGTAGGACCCATCGCCTGGGGGAGAGGGCATGATGCAGCCCGAGCCACGTGTGGTACTTACAAGGTGGAGGTCTTGACATAGCTGGTGTTTTGGCGTAGTGGGGGGCACTTGGGGCGCAT